GGGAACCAGCCCTCTTCCCCTTTCGGAGCAAAGGCTCCTCCTCCTCTTCTTCTTCCGCGGAGTTGACCTCCTGCTCCGCGGGGTCGGAGTTAGGCGCCCCCTCGCCTTCCTCCGGAGCGGACGATGCCACGCTCGCCGTATGCGCACGAGCGGTGCCACCCTTCACCGCCCTCTTCTTCTTCTTCTTGGGGCCAGCCGCTGGTGCCCGGGATTGAGTGGCAGGCGCTTCTTGTTGAACGGGCGCCTCTTGTTGAGTAGGCGCCCCTTGTTGGGCAGCCGCCGCCGCGGCCGCCTCCGCCGCCATAGTAGCCAGCCGACTCTTCATCAGCTTGGCGATGCTCGAGTAATCCGCCCCTGCATATGACGAAAATAAGTTAGTCCATAACACAAACAAGGGAGCAAGGAAATAGAACACCTAGACGCCTACACACCATCGTATAGTAAGCCTCAATAATGGGCGGGCGGTTTTCTGCGAGGCGTAAGTCAACGGGTTCCCCCTCGCAAATTAAGGGGGCGCCGGCCTTTTCAGACGCCGTCAAAACCACCGGCGCGTTAAAGGCCTCGACCTGACCCAACTCCCATTTCCTAACAAAGGCGCCCCCACTTGCAAAAAAGGAGTCTCGATAGGCCTTCACAAAGAAAAAACCGTTGAACCAGCTTCGGTTCAACTTGGGACACTTCTTCACAAAATGATAGGGGCGCTTCTTTTGTTTCTGGAGGGACAAGCAATTGTCAAGAGGCACCATCTTGAAGAAATATCTGAACAGGTTGAAGGTGGGCTCCACGTTATGCTCCCGGCACCTCAACTTGAACAGAATGACGACCGTGATAACCGAGGGAGATAGGCGCCCGAGGGGGCAGGCGCAGGTCGTCAGGATTCCCTCCATGATCGAGTCAAGGGGAAACTGTAGCCCGAAGCGGAAGTATTCTTGATAAATCCCGATCCACTTCGGGCCACAGACGCCTACCCGGGACAGAGGCGATGGGGGCGCATACCACCAATCTCTGGGAAGCTGGAGGCTGGTCACCAACTCATGAACCCGACCCAAAGTGACGGTTGACGTGTGTTTCGGCCCGGCCACCTCGAAGGGTAAGTGAGACGTCTCGGTGGGAAGATGATCGGGAGGAAAACACTTCTCCCATGAGGTGATCTTGTAGGACCCATCGGCAGGCAAGAAACCAGGCGCCGAAGAACTTGATGGCCCAGCAGACGATGACGGTCCACCAGATGCTGAAGCAGGCGCCCGATCTAAATCAACAAATGACCCAGACGCAACGCGGACACGGGGTAAGTGACGCCCCTACCCTAGGTGACTAGAATAAACTCAACGAAACTAACGAAGGAAAAAGGAACACTTACCGCGTTGAACTGGGCGCCTTGTGTCACTACCCGCGCCAGAGGCGCCCGCGCCCGAAGCGCCCGCACCAGGTCCGCCCGCGCCCGAGGCGCCGTGTCCGGAAGACTTGTCTTGTTGCGGGGAAGACATTTTGGACGGAAGCGCTGTGTCGAAAGTGAAGACTGACAGGAAAGAGGACAGAGGTCAGAGCGGAATCTAGAGAGAGGTCAGAGCAAAATCCTAGAGAGAAGTCAAATGGAAGAAAGTGACAGCATCGCAAGGAGGGAGGGGTATTTAAAGAAAAACGGATGCCCCACCAAACCTCCTCGCTGCGTGACACGTGTCAATCATCCCGAATGAACCCTTCCGCTCCCCCCCACCTTTTGGTCTTTTCGCGAGCCACAAGACCCCGAGCGGACCCTTGAGCTTCCCCCACCCTTTCCTTTTTGGGGAAATTTCTCAACTCCCAATTTCGAATTTTCTTTTTTAAATTCGACATTCCAAATTTCCCCGGCAAGCAAAGCGTGGGTGAGGGGGGCATAAGGGATAGGGACACACGTCAAGGAGGACACTGCGAGGAGGCGCCTACAAAAAAGGATCGCAGAAAGAGAGCACACGAAGCAGTGAGCCTAGGCGAGGATCGGACGCCTGAAAGTGAGGGGTAGTTGGAAAAGGCGCCCCATTTGGCAAGAAGCGTAGAAGCACATAGAAGAGCATACGGCAAGGAGCACCGCCAAAGTTGTGACGCCCGCCAGCGAAAGGGGAGAAGCAAACGCACCCCTCCGGACCAGGAAGGAAGTGAAAACACGGTGCAGGCGCCGGGAAGCAAGCATCCTATAACAAAGAGGATGCCGGACTACAACTAGAGGTTTAGTCAGGCGCTCGAAGGCGGAGCCACGAGCACCTAACTGGGGGGGCAATTGTTGGGGGTATTACCCAGCAGCTAGGAGTTTGGGCTCCCAAGGAAAGAGAGTTGGGGGCAAGGCCCGAAAAGAAGGAATCCACTAGAGGCTCTTGGGCCCAGACAAGAGAAAGGACCCAAAGAATAAAACACCAAAGGCCAAGTTGCGGCCAACTGTCCGGTGGACCACTGCCTGCGGGCGCCTGTCATGTGTCAGGAGCCTGGCAAAGCAGTTGGATGCATGTCATGTGTCAGGAGCCTGACAAGGCAGTTGGTTGTCTCACAGAGGGGACACAAAGCATTAAATGAGGATGGTGACGTGGAGGAGATCAGCCTCGGGTTCGGTGAGTATAAATAGGGGCAGTCGATAGCATTTATGCAGGTTGGATTCTCTCACACTAAAGTACTACTTGAGAACCCTACTCTCTCTAAGAAACTAACTTGGGCGTCGGAGGATTAACGGGCCGCGGCGCCCTCCTCTTCGTGTGTGTAGGCCGACGCCAGGCGGAGGGAGACGTCCGAACAGTGAAGAGGGTATTGTGGCTCAAACAGTTACCATCACTGTACTAGTGAAAATTGTGCGCTAGCAACGTCGACCACTACTACAAAATATTTGATGAATACTTGAAAATCTTATAAAATGGCATTGTTGCAACTTGCAACCAACAACGACACAATTGCAAGAAACAAACTCCAGGTTGTGTTGGCCTTCGTGATGGTTGTCATTTTTCTTTCATCTTGGATTTCAAGTAGTTACATGTGATAGAACTTCAATATGTTGTATGTGTAGTTTCTGATAGTTTGAAGCATATCCTTAGACAATGATGCTCATGGTTCTAGCTCCAAGTCTATAGCATTTAGATATGGTGAAATATGTTTAAGGTGTACAAGATCGAATGTAGGGTCAGTTAATTAATTCAAGCCCGGCATATCTCTGCCTCTGGCCACTCTGTCTCATACAATTGAAACCTTGAACTCTGCCATTATATATGTTCATCAGTTTCATATTTGGCTACGATGAGGGAGTAGTTCTGAGCTTGTTCATGTTGGGATTAGTTGGGGTTCTCGGGTCGTTTGAGGTAGGGTTGGGCCCGATTACTTGGATATATGACTCGGTGGTGTTCGAATACAAGGATCGAGCTCGCAGTGCGAGTTTTGGGACCGTGCACGGGTGTATTGGTGTTTTGTGCCAGTTTCATTGTTGAGAAGTTGCAAGTAATTGTTGAGTGAACTGAGGGTGTTGGCACTAGTGATGGATGAGGGTTTAGCAGATGATGCAAAATTAATGTCCTAACAAAGTGCCTTGAAGCAATTGAAGTGCCCACAACAAGCAAATACCTCTTCTTTCGAGCCAAATAACAACCAACAAGAACCCCATTTATGCATCTTTATGTAGAATATGTGATTTTTCGGTTACTTAACTCTGCATAGCGCCATAAATTGTTATATAATCCTCAATTGTGCACAATTTTTTGTTATATTGGTGATATATTCTCGACCTTCACAAATGGGGATGTTCTTTGTGGGGAATATCAAACGTTTTGTGACGTCTTCCTATGGGAATATCAATTATCAACCCTTCGTTCTGCCAACAATAATTGGAATAAAGTGCATAGGTAGGGATAACCCGTACAATCTTGAAAGTTGATGGATTGAGTAGTTTCTTGATGAAAAAGTCTCAAGAATTACAGAATATAAGGTCTACCTAATTCCGGTTAACTATCCATAGTTTAATCACTTAACATATGGGTAATTAGCATAAATGGTAACAAACCTTTGCACTTAGTACAAAACGGTCACAAACCTTTAATTTGTAATAATATGGTAACAAAACTTTGAAATTGTATAAAATGGTCACCGTTATTTAATTTGTGACCGTTTTTTTTTTAAATGAAAAGGTTTGTTACCGAATCGTTACAAATTAAATGTTTGTCATGTTTTGAGGTCGGGTAGTTTGTTCGTTAAGTATATGACACTAACCACTTGAATGACATATAAGATGTCAGCTCATGTGTTAATCGACATATTTGCTTTGCCAAATAAAAATGCCCTCAGTTGACCTTTCAATTTCGATACCAATCTATCAAAAAAAAATTTCGATACCAAGAAAGTAGACAAAGTTTTTTCAACTAAAAGGCAGTCTGGAACTCGTTTGTGAGCCATTGAATTCTCTCATTGTCATCCTTTATGACGATCATATCATTCACATACATTAACAAAATCACCATACAACTAGAGCGAATTGTAATGGTGATTGAGCGTTCAAACTTTTGAACTTAATTTGTACAAAACGGTCACCAAAAGTCTAATTTGCAACGACACGGTAATAAAAGTTTGAATTGGTATGAAATGGTCACACTGTTTAATTTGTGACCGTTTTGTTCTAAGTAAAAAGTTTTGTTATCAAATGGTTATGAATTAAAGGTTTGTGACTGTTTTGTACTAACTGCAAAGGTTTGTGACCATTTATGCTAATTACCCCTTAACATGTAGATACTGAAATAACTTCCCAAAAACCCCAATAGCATCCAAAATTCCAAAGCATAATAAAACCGACAAAGTTTAATCCCTTAACATAAATACTGAAATAACTTCCTAAAAACCCCAATAGCATCCAAAACTCCAAAGCATAATAAAACCAGCAAAGTTTTCAAGTGGGCAGATATATAGTCCCAACAGCCTGCAAGCAAGTGATCGGCCGCACGTTAAATTTAGAAACCCCATCAAAGGGAATGCAGAGGAAGTATATATATATATATAGAAGATTCAAAGTCGTGCTAGTTTCAATACTTAACTGTAGAAACCACTGCTTCAATAAGGAGGGTATCATCGACGAGGAACCCTTTCTGAGGATCGTGCAGATCGGTTTGCGACACCAAATAGTTGAATCCCCAGCTGTTATCAGAATTCCCATGGAAGTTGGTTGCCGAACCTGTTTGTAAGAGTAATGCAGAACTTGTAGTAAGCAAAATAAGAAAACAGAGTAAGGAACAACTGAGACAACACAAAACAGAGTAAGCATGAACCTAAGGCATATGGACAAAAGCATCCATCTTTAGATAGAGAAAGATATGAATAGACAGAGTTACCCACAATCTCGCACAGAGGAGGTGCCGTTGAGTTGGTCGACTAGAGTCAAGTTGATGATCGCTGGCACAGTCCATCCCCATGGCTTTGTATTCCAGTCGACAAATTGCACATATGCTGCCAGAAAACCGGGAATACCACGTTTCCCTTTCGGGTAAACCATAATCCTCCTGCAGGTTGACATTGAGAAACGGAATTGGAGAGTAGAATGATTAATTGAAGGGGGTTCATTTCACGGAAACTTGGACAAGTTAGCTAGGGTTAGGGTTGGGAAAATAGACCAGACCGTTAGAAAAACCGTGGTCCAAACCGTACCGCACGGTTTGGTCTGGACCGTAGACCGTGAAGTATGGTCTGGTCTGGTCCATGGTCTGTATTATTTTATGATTTGATCTCTTGGTCTGGTCTGGTCTAGACCGCGGTTTACCGGACCAAATCGTAGACCCAACTGACTTATCAATACGTGTTAACAGCCTATTCGACCACTCTCCAAACTCCCACAACGACACCCAAGTCTCAACCTTAATTTTGTGAATCTCTTCCCTCCTTCATTCACAACCACATTTAACCACAGAGTAGAGATAATCGTGTCTCCATATGACATTATGTTAATGTTTATGACATTATGGTGCAAGCTGGGATGCTTTTACTTTGTATCTTTGTTATGTACTAAGATTTAGAGTATCAAAATTATTCATGCATGTTAGGATTAATGTTTTAAGGCAAATAACAATTATTTTTCTTGGTTATTGGTTCAATTTTTTGTGTGGTTAACTAAACAAATTATTCATTTTTCGTTGAGTGTGGTCTACCTGGACCAGACCAGACCGAACCAGACCGCACAGGCGTGGTCTGGACCAGACCGTATAGTCTGTGGTCTGGTCTGTGGTCTATACTTTAACCTCTCGGTTTGGACCGTAGACCGTATATATGGTCTGGTCTGGACCAGACCGCACCGTTTCCCAGCCCTAGCTAGGATTCTTTGTATGAAAAGGGAAGTTAATTAGTCAACCATCTGTAGCCCGCGGCTAGGAAAATGTCGGAGTAGATCTCGGTTTCTTTCCGCTTTGAGAAATTCTCAACCTTCAATGTGAATTCCTTAGTCTCCATCATCTTCATCACCGCCCGGCTCAACTTTCCGAGTTCCAAGTAAAGTAGTAAACTGAAAACTGTATGCCGAAACTGTTGAGTGGACAGGAAGGAACCGGCAAAACAAAAATAAACAAAACACCCGAATTCAATACCTATCATAGATAAGTTACTATACTTCATGGAATATGTTCAGTTATTAGGGTTTCGTTTTCGTTAATGACCTATTTAACTATGAATTATTGTATTGGTAGCCATTAGCCAAGCAATACAAGGCATTAAGTAAATTTCAGAGCAATAAAAATTTGAAGAAATCATCAAATCTAAAAATAACAACATCCTAACAGTGTTTCTCTCCATTGAAGTTTATTTCATAATAAAAATAAAACACAAGAATATATATGTATATAATGAATAGTAAGAAAGAGAAAAAGAATACTGGATTATCGAACGACGAACAATGGAATTCCTTTCGTCGCTTCTCCTCTTTCTCCCTCCACGCCACGGTCCGTTGCTTGTTCGCTTCCCTCCAAGCTCGCCGTTCTGTCCAATAAATTAAGAATGATTAGGGTTATATATATATTTTCCCCCCCTTTTCCTTGTCGCCGTACAAGCTACATAAGTAGCAGGACCCTCGACGTGTATGGGCCGGGCCGCATGACGATTGGGCTGGGTCTGGGCCCCACTCCCTCGGCCTGGCCCGTTACTGGCGCTCATACACATACCTTCACCGGCGGGAAAGAAGGCGGCCGACGGTAGGACCACGACCCCTCGCGAAATAAAACATAATACAAATGCGGCGAAAGGAAGAGCTACAATGTTAAATGAAAAGTTGAAAACTGTTACTCTCTATTCTTAAAAGTCCTGTTCTTAGTTCCTGCAACCATGCTGGTCGGTAACAACAATGCAGCAGAATGGTCGTTTTAATAGCGAAATGTTGAAACAACACAACAATCGTCAAGACATTGATGTTTGAGAAGGGTAAAATCTGAGCAAGCACAAGTGCAGTGACAAGCCTTAAACTGGAGAGGTTAAACTTTCAAGATTTGTAAGCTCGCAGGTAAAAAAAAAATCATGGGAATAAACTATCAATAAAACTCCCCAAATTTCTCAACAAGTTCATCCTAACGAATGAGAACCAGGATCTTTGCTATCACGCCGTCTCTTGTTGATTTGCCTCACTGGAAGAGGGTTCTCGTTAAATGCTCCCGAGCTGTAGCCAATGCTTGAGAGATCGTCTGTGCAATTGAAAAGCAGAGGGGGAAAAGATGAATGAAGATAATGAACCTATGATGCCATAGAAGACAGTAACGGAGGATGCAATCAGAAAGCCAACCTGCTCAGACAATGGTGCAGCAGGATCCATGCTATTGACGGCCACCTTTCCGGCAATGACATTGGCATCAGTCTCCAATATCATCCTGCGGCAAAGTAATCCTCAAGTAAGAAGCAATAAAACACGCTCCTGTGGTAAATTTATCAAATGACAAAGCCTGACAGGCAAGCAGTGCAGAGAAGGAGCCATTCAAGGCATTGAGATTATATTTGAAATGAAAAAATGGATTAAGCTAACAAAAGGATATTTATGCTCCATAAAGTAAGTTTGCTTAAGCAAGCTAATGGTCCACATTAGAAACCCCAGTAGGATTGAACTTGTAATAAAACGGACAAGCAAGGAAACCCTATTATCTTCCCTATTATCAGTATTGGCCTTAAATCCTAACTGTCTAGAACGAGAGAAAGAGAAAACAGGCATACCCTCTTTCAACAATCTCGTCAAGGCATAAGAAGATGAGATCCAAGTTCTCAAGTGCCTCTCTCTTGTCAACGTTGTTCCTATGTCAAGAAGGAAGATTGAGTCAATCACACTGAAGAAATTATATGAAAGAAAGCAAGCCCAGGACAGTACTTAGAACTACCTCAGGAGAAGAGCAACAGAATCAAAGAAACCTTGGAGCACTGCAGACAATATAAGTTCATTTTCATCATCCCCTCCGGTGACAAAGAAGTGGAGATCCTGAATGAACTTGTACACGATGATGTAGTTGTCAAACATGGTAATCTCCGCTGGGCCAGAACAATAAATAAATGGGTCAGCAACGCAATCAAGCATGACTTTACAGCTTAATTAGAGTATTTAGATTCAACAAAAAACAGCATAACGTTGATCAAACAAACCTTCTGTCCGGGCATTAGTCTTCATTGTTTTGGTAAACAGAGCTTTCTCAAAGGCTAGCTTGGAGTTATTCGTCGGCCAGTCATCTGAATAGTACTTGACAGCCACGCGCTTCCCTTCCGAATCCAGTAAAAGAATGTTCTTCACAGTAGGGCAGGCATCCTGCAAACAACAGATCAAGCATATCCCTCATTCCCTAAATCAAGCGAAACCCAAGAATATCCACCGCAGAATAACACCACAAACTCACTGATTCACTGTAAACCCTAAATCTTAAATTCGCCAAAATCCATTTTCAAAAGCCTAAAAACAAAATATTTTACCCCTACGCCAGTTTATCATCACTCAACCGATCTATTCATGTACCAGTTGGATCAAACGAAATTCCGCTCTCCGGAAACCCAACTGTAGAGATCTCCAGTGCGGCAGTAAGCAACAGTTGTGGAATTGAGACAATCTATGCCGCGCTCTCAACAAGCGGACCAAGCAGAGCACATTCGTGATTTCAGTACCAATCATATCAGATCCAATAGCTTTTCATCTAGCTAAGTACGAATCTGAGATCTGCGGAAAGAAAGGTGGAGGAGAGAATGACTTACGCGAAAAGAAGAAAGGGCCATGGATGTGAGATTGAAAGCGCGAGAGTTGATTTCAGAGGAAGAACTCGACGTTTTGGTTATAAAAGTTCTGTTTTTCTAATTTGGAGCCATTTAAATGCGCAGCTTTTTTTTTTTCTCCCTCGATCCCGGTGTTAAATGCATCAGGTGTCATTTAAGTTTTACTTTTTTTTATATAATTTTTTTTATATAAATTTAAGTTTTAGTTTTGTTGCTATGTTAGCCGTAACATTCCCAACCTTTTCCCAAGGAAGATATTGTTTGTTTTTGGCTTTCCATAAGGTCATCTATCCTTATTGTACTCTAAACTACGCACGTTTAACTTCGGAGTTCTCAAAAGAACTCCTCCATTTCACCCAAAAATGCGTCTTGTTAGTTCAGACTGGTTTCCAACTTATGAACCATGGATCTCTCCCGTGCTTTGTCGATGTGAGATTTGCCTAAGGTGTTACATACACCTCCCCTTGGGACTCAACGGCCTCAATGATGTTTGATCCATCATCGTTCAAGAGGGACGCGGAGAGGCTCTGATACCACTTGTAACATCCCGAACCTTTTCCCGAATAAGATATTATCCGCTTTGGGTCTCGACCCTCGCGGATTTTTACTTGGGGTGCAATTCAAGGTGACTTCCCATAAGGTCACCTATCCTTGTTGTACTCCAAACTGAGCACGTTTAACTTCGGAGTTCTCACAATAACTCCTCCATTTCACCCCAAAATGCGTCTTGTCAATTAACCATGGTTTCCTACTTATGAACCATGGATCTCTCTCGTGCTTTGTCGATGTGGGATTTGTCTAAGGTGTTACATACCCCTCCCCCTCTCCCCCGGGACTCAACGCCCTCGTTGAGGTTTGACCCACCATCGTTCAAGAGGGACGCGAAGAGGCTCTGATACCACTTGTAACATCTCGAACCTTTTCTCGAACAAGATATTGTCCGCTTTGGGCCTCGACCCTCACAGGTTTTTACTTGGGGTGCAATTCAAGGTGACTTCCCATAAGGTCACCTATCCTTGTTGTACTCAAAACTGAGCACGTTTAACTTCGGAGTTCTCACAAGAACTCCTCCATTTCACCCCAAAATGCGTCTTGTCAGTTAAAGAGGGACGCGGAGAGGCTCTGATACCAGTTGTAACATCCCGAACCTTTTCCCGAGCAAGCATATTGTTCGCTTTGGGCCTCGACCCTCACGTTTTTTTACTTGGGGTGCAATTCAAGGTGACTTCTCATAAGGTCACCTATCCTTGTTGTACTCCAAACTGAGCACGTTTAACTTCGGAATTCTCACCAGAACTCCTCCATTTCACCCCAAAATGCGTCTTGTCAATTAAGGCCGGTTTCCTACTTATAAACCATGGATCTCTCCCGTACTTTGTCGATGTGGGATTTTCCTAAAGTGTTGCAGACAACCCCCTTGGGACTCAACGCCCTCGTTGAGGTTTGCCCCACCATCGTTCAAGAGGGACGCAGATAGTCTCTGATACCACTTGTAACATCCCGAACCTTTTCCCGATCAAGATATTGTCGCGCTTTGGGCCTCAACCCTCACGGTTTTTTACTTGGGGTGCAATTCAAGGTGACTCCCATAAGGTCACCTATCATTGTTGTATTCCAAATTGAGCACGTTTAACTTCGGAGTTCTCACAAGAACTCCTCCATTTCACCCCACAACACGTCTTGTCAGTTATGGTCGGTTTCCTACTTATGAACCATGGATCTCTCCCGTCCTTTGTCGATGTGGGATTTGCTTAAGGTGTTACATTAACCATCTAGCTTTTTTTGGTAGCAACTAAAACATACAAGTTTAATTTTTGTTGCACCGCCTCTTTTTCTGTCTCTAAAGTTAATGGCAAGTATCAAAAGGTAATTTTCATGGCACATCGACAATCCAACTCAGCTCAATTGTTGAGTCAGATGATGTGCTTCCTTTTACATGTGAGGCTGGTACATTTTGAAGCTCTTATACGGATTTCCTCCCCAAAACCCCTCCACCGCCACCATCCCTCGCTGAGTTATGCTTCTCCAACGCCAATTGTGTCACTCACTGCTCCTCTTCAAGAAATCCTAATACAAACCTTTAAGCTCGTCAAAGGTCTTGAAAATTCAATAGTCGACCAAGTTTGTCATCGGGACTTCCCAGACGAGTTACCAATCAAGATTCCTTGAAATGTAGCAGCAAAATGAGGAAGGGAGATGTTTGGCGTTGAAAGACGATGAGTAAAAAAAACACCATCAAACACTATGGAGTTCTAAATCTTGAGCACCTCTGAATTTCCAAACAATAGGTCTTGCGGGATGCACCGGAGGAGAAGCAGGCGAACTAGAGGGATGCA